GACCAGTTTAGGGGCTGCTGTGGTGAATTAGGAAAGTAGTAAGGATAGCTCAACCCAAATGAGTGACAATTATGATGGAAGAAAATTGATAGATTCTTGGTTTATTAGTAAGTGGAATGAAAAGCTAGTAAATGAATGAATGTATGGGGAAGAGGGAGGAAGAGAAGCTAAGAAGAGCTCTCATGTTTCTGGGTTGAAAAATAGATGAAATGGAGTCATTCACTAAGACCAAAGAATAAGGAAGTCTAGGGACAAGGCAGACAACCCCTGATGAGTTCCGTTTTGGACTCAGTTTACAGTGTCTGTAAATTTCTGTATATTTCCTCTTCATAGTCAACAAGCAGTGGGCTAATGCGAATTTGAAGCTCAAGGAAGATTTAAAATGCATAAAGAAAAAGACAGATTTAATATTAAAATAATAAATTGTGTCTATGGTACATGCTAATTTGTATTATTTATATACATGATCTAGATTAAGCTGACTTTCTCCATAAAAATAAATATATATGAAGATTTTTAGAATATTTTAACTGCTTCTGAAAGTACACAGTAAGGTTATGTTTCTACATGAAGAATTTTTTATTATATAAGGATCTCCAGGGACATAAAATAATAGTTAAGTAATAAACAGTAGTTTCCTTTAAAGCATATCATTTTGCTTGTCTTTTAAAATAATTGTACTTGTCTGCACTCTTTAATAAAAATTTTGGATTTGCTTATCATAATATTATCCTAGTGCGAACAATTATATGCAAAAGGTTATTTCAAATGAAAACACATATGGTAGGTAAGTAAAGTCAACCATAAGTAGGAATAGATTTATAATGTCCCTTATTTAATCTAGGTGTTCAATAAGAAGTACTTGAATTAACATATATCCATGTAAAGAAGCATCAAATAGAAAATTCAGAGTCTGAAGTGGATAGCTGTCATTACGAATCCTGCTACTTCTTTCATTATTGCAAAGCACAGAGAGTATTTGTATTAATGTCAGTTAGTCAGCATTATTGTTATAATTTCATTAGCTGGTTATGAGTTAACAAATGTCTGAAGAGGGCCAATGTCTCCAAAGATTAACATAAAGTCTCCTCTACTTGAAGAAGCAAGTATAATTGTTTAAAGCCATGGATTTTGGACTCTGTGACCCAGCTTTCTTCTTTGCCAAATGGAGATATTAATATATAACACAAAATCTTGTAATATGAATTAAATAAGATAATCTTTGGAAAATCTTTACCAGAGAAACTAGCTTAAGAAAATATTCCATAACCATGGGTGATATAAACTAGTGACATCAGTTGTTATGGCACTTTACATGCGTTAAAATCATTAGGTTTGGACCCAAGGAAAAGAAAACAGCATCCTTTTGTATTTAAAATATATATGACAGCATCATTTTGTGTTTAAAATATATATCCCCTCCACATTACCATTGAATAAAACCACTAGTTCTTTGACAAGGCTATTTCAGTTGTTACTCCAACTGGTCTTCCTGCTGTTACCTCAACCCATCTTAATGCTGCCTTATCAAGTATAGCTGTGAGTTTATCACTACCTACTTAAAACATACATGAACAGATTAAACAAAAATAGAAAATGAGTAAGAACAAGCCAACAACAACAAACTCTTCAATGGTTCTAAAGAAAGACACCAGCAATTGGTACTAGACAGCACCCATACCACCAATCATACTCCCCTTATTGAAATCTTGCTGTCCTGGCCCTACTTCAGTCAATGTTCATGACTGTCTCTCACCTCTCTCATTCTTCTCACCCCATCTTTCCATTCCTACAATACATATGAGCTCATGTCTGGTGAGGGAGCTGAGGAGAGAGAAGACTCGGTTAACAGCTTTACAGGGTGGCTTGGTTCTTAGTGGTCTTCCCTGCTTACCCAAAAAGCAGAATTCGTAGAAACTGGAGAAGCCGGAATAAAGCAAAAACTTGAACGTTGTTCCTCAACTGGTTTTTCGTTGAGCTAAAAACCTAAAGACTCCTCCATCCGTAGAAAGGTCTTAGGAGAACTGGACAGTATACAGCTTGGTGGTGGACGATGTAACTAAAGACACAGTAATGCCTGTTTTCTCTACTGAAGTTATCTAAAGCTGGAGGTGGGTTGCTGGAAAACAGTGTGGAGTTTGCTGCAGGCTGAGATGAGGACTGCGATGTGCTACCACCACAGCTCTAACAGGGCACAGAAGAGGACCTCAGCAGAAGACTACAGGGTTCTCCATGGAGCAGCACAGAGGGTGAACAAAGGCAGGTGTCATGCTACCCATGTAGCTCCTGGCCAGTAGTGGTGACATCCCAAATAAAAAAAAAAGGGCAGGAAGCATAGATCAACAGACCTGGCTTCCCCTCTCTTAACAGACCAAGAAAAGCTGTTCAATACACAAGAAAGTAACACACACACCATCTCCACGGTATCTCAGGGCAGACATACCTTCCTAAACCCACATCTGCACAGGAACAAAATTGGAGCTGAAGAACAAAAGAGTAAGCTGCACCCTTCTTACTTCTGGTCTCTAGAGCTGGGATTCTTAACTAACGATGGAAGGGGAAACAGTGGGATATGAAGTGGATATAAGATTAAAGTTTTCATCAGGACTGAATTTTAATAACTGAAAGGACTGGAAAGTGATGCAGTCTACTCAAGGTATTAAGAGATGGAAAATAGAGATTTAACAGAGCATAATTAAAAGCAGATTTTGGAGAAAATTAAAACTGACCCATATATTATACTCCACTGAGATGAAACATCTCAAAAATAGGTTTCAAAGACTGGGATGAATTTTAGGTAAGGCTTATAATGAAACATCTGACTCGGCATTATAGTTAGCTTTTCTGTCACCCATCTCGGCAGGTTTGTGGAGAAAAAAAGAATTTGGATGCTATTTTAAGGCAAGGGGAGGGAGAGTAACAGATATCCTTTTTAGAGCTCTGGGGAAGGCTGAAGTCAAGGTCAAGGGGTCTGTGAATACTGTGTTAGGAACAAGCAGAAAAGTGAGTTGGTGTAAGCACCCTAGCAAAAGTGAGAGTCAGTCCACTTCAAAGAAAAGCCAGGTTCTGACACGACATGTTTTAGTCATGCGTTTGATTCTGAATAACCGTTATTTTCTCACTGCAACAAACAAACAAACAAACAAACAAAAAACTCGTGTTTTTGTATGTTTATGTGAATGTGTTTTAATAGTAGCTGATGGCTTTCCATGAAAAACTTTTGGATTATTACTTTTCTTGTTATACTACAGTATTGATTATTTGGGGCTATACAACTCATGCATTTTAATGGGTACAATACCACTTGTATGAAAGGAGCTTTACCCCGTTTACATATCAAATCATAGGTAAAGTAAGAGCATATATGTTTGGTGTCTAAAGTTTCTCTTGTTCGGTGACAAAACTGTTTATATTTTAATATCTCAAGATAATCTCAAATATAAGAATAAAAATAAAAATCAGCATCAAATAGTCTCATACTGTCTCTATAGGAAAAGCTGATTAGATTGTTGCTTAACATAGCTACTTTCGAAGAGAGTCCTGCAATGAACATAGGAGTTGCCTCTAATTTGCTCTCACTTCCTCTCGTCACTAATCCAGCGGTCAAAGGAGAATGTCTAACTTGCTTTGAAAACCAACATCTGAAATCTCTAAAACCCCTATTCCTATATTTAATCTATTGCTGGATATTATTCCCTCTTGCTAATTCCACTACTCTTTTTAGTTTTACCTATTACAATCACTTTTTCGTATTATAGTTATTCCCCAGATGCCATTTCAAAGGGTAACAAATGTTATGTTACTTTTATTGTCCCCATGGCTCCAACACTTCCCAAGGCATTTCCAGCTCAAAGAAAACAGATACTCACAGTGTAGTTCTTCCCAGAAAAGGTAGAATAGAAATGAATGTTATTAACCTCTGTAGAACACAGTATGTCTCAGCTTTCACACTGGTAGTTCCTCCTGTGAAACTCAACTGGCCTTTCAGAAACCCACCAGGTCTTCCGATAAACCCATGTGCAGGCCAGATGTATCTGTCTCTTGATGCTACAATATAAAACTATATTTTCCTTATAGACTAAGATCATCTATCATGACAATACCTTTTCACGAAGAAATATTAATTATTAAGTATAACTGCTTTATCTCTGGCTTCTTAGGCATACTGTGTCTTTCAGGCTAACGAACATATGAAGCTTCTCACAAGAGGAGAGTAATCCTATTATTAGATGATTTTCTATTCCCATTACTTGCATAATCACAAGGTCCATAGCGATAGAAACTAAGGAATGTTTTGTGGGATGCTGATTCAAAAATGTCAACAGTTAATCAAAGCTACCTGTTACTCTAATTGTATTGATTTTCTTTTCAACCTCAGAGACAAAGCTTCTCATATCACTTGGACATCTGGTAAAATTATCGTTGACATTCTCGGATTATAGGAATATGTATTCCGCATGGCTAGAAAAGTCCTAATTGTGATGACTGGGATAAAGTTGTGCTTATTTAGTCTCCAGCTTATTTGGTCTACTTTTCCTTGTTTGCCCAACTGAGCTGGCATTAGCAGGAGAACAAAGAGACTTACAGACCATTTCAATGATACTGGGCATCCTGAGCAATTTTAAATGCATTTTTGTTAAGTCGCCTTGCTCCTCAAGTGTCTGAATACCTTTTGCAGGTTGTTTTGTTCTTTTTACCTTGATAAGGACCATTCTGTGACAAAATTATGGCACACGGTCATCAAAGCAAAACTACAGCTCACTTTCTTAATCATACAGGCAAGAAAAGAAATACAATAAGCTATGTTTAGTGCAGAAAACAGGGCTAAAAATTAAGAGAATCAACATTTCAACTTTTGGTTGAGGATCAGTACAAATAAATTTAAAAACAGAAAGTGTGAGACAAATATCACGAGTCAGTTTTATTTTGCTTTAACACCATAATAGCTGTTTTCGATATTTACTTAACCTTTGTCTCCTCCGGATTGTTTCCTGACTTACCTGCAGTTGGAGTGGGCCTAAGCCTGGTGTTGCTGCGGCAGCAGCTGCCATGGTAGTTGGGATCAGCTGAACAGGGTAAGGGTCACCTAAGTAAGAGAATAATAGAGGCGTCAGCACCTTTTATCTACTCTCCACCTGCAAATTAAACTCATGCATTCACTCTTTCCAAAAGCCTTCTTTTGTGTGCCTTGCTGAGGCCTAATGAAAAGCTCTATTGTGCAGCCTTTTACTAACACTCTTTTCACAATTCTGGCTGAGAGAGGAATGTGAATAAAAGGCACAAGCAATTAAGGCGGAAACCTCATCCTTTTTTCATGATGTATTTAGGAAAATGGGAGGGAAAGTGAGCATTGATCAGAGGGCTGCACTTTATAACACACACGCGCGTGCACACACACACAATTTTAATACGAGCACAGTAACTCCTCAGCAAATTTACAGTATTATTATAAAAGGAATTTAACTTACTTTTATTTTAATGAATTAAACTCCAAAGATTTAAACAAAGTAGCTTATCTTTGAAATGCTATGTTACTGTCTTGATTCAAATAATCTCTTAAAGAATATCTTATGGACAAACTAACAATGAAGAAAATATTTTATGTGTTTTTCAAGTTACATGAAATGTTGACATCTTTGTTATCCAGGGATAAATGTTTACAAAACTATATTGTAATGAAAATGGAAAATAGATTGCTTCCCCCCTGAAGTTTTTTATCTATTAAAAAGACATAGTAATTCAAAATTAATCCTGAAGTTTTATTGTTATGTGACCTGTAAAAATATAGGCACACACACAAACATACAGAGAAGCACATAGAGAAGATTAGTCTGCTTATTTTTGATGCAAATCAAGGGGCTTTTCTTAATGAGTAAAGAGGTACAATAGTTGCATAGGGCCCAGTGACTTGCTAAGAAATAAAAGTAATGTACATTATTTGTTATCTGACACATGACCATAGCAAATAACTAAAAATAATAGAATAATTCTGTAATACACAAAACATTTTGTAGAAATCTAATTTATAAAAAATGTGTTGAATACTATATACATGAAAAATATAACTTAAAATAACTCAGTTAATAAAGCCATTCAAAAACATTTATCGAGTAACTGCTATGTATTAAGCACTCCTCTTGGCACTAGACATAAAGCTTTGGAAAAGATTAATATGCAGATGTGAATTTACTGGGAATTTAATGAAGCTTAAACTTTGGGCTTTTGGAAATGGCCTCTTGCAGTATGTTCACTATATATTTTTATATTTGTCATATATTTTTATATTTATCAGTTTTTGTAATTTGTTGTGATTTCTTGTTATAAATGAATATTCACTTTTGTACCTAAGTGTGTGTGTGTGTGTGTGTGTGTGTGTGTGTGTGCCTCAGTACATAAAATTTTTGCATTTTTATTCTAAAGAGAGTCTGCCAGGTTATTTTTTAGGCTTCAAAATAGCTGGATCTACCTCTGCGGATCTGGCCTTCCAAAAGCTTACAGTTTAATGGGAGAAAAAGATAATTAAATGATTAGTATCAAATATAATGGCAGTTAAGACAATGAAGTAGATAATGCTGTGGACTGCACTGTGGTTGTCCCAAACCTAGTCTAATAGGTTAAACACAGTCTCCAGGAAAAGGTTATGTTTAAGCTGAAACTTGAGTTAAATTATAGTTACCTAGACAAAGAAGGGAAGAAAGAATGTTCCAGGCAGGGAGACAATTTTCATGAAGAATCAAATGGAAGTGTTAGTCATAACCCAGTCCCTGTATTGCTGAAGTACAGAGAGCAGGTAGGGAACGAGATCAATGGATTGGGGAGGGAGTCACATGCCAGATTATGTATGATTTTTGTAAATATTAAATGATCTAAACTTTATCCTCTAGGGTAAAGGAAATCATGCACGTGGAAAACAGATGGGTGGAATAAAATCACTTGAGTTGGAGGTTGAGAGCTGTAATCAACTAGTAAACGGATGCAGAAATCTGTATAAAAGGTAATAATGGTCAGACTAGGGTGGTGACATGGGGATGGAGAGTGAGGCAGGGACTCAAGTGATATTTAAATGGTATAACTGGTAAAACCTAATGACTGTTACATATGAGAGTAAGAGAAGATTCAAGGATGACTTCCAGGTTTTTCACTAAAACAACTGATTGACATGTGGTGGTATATACTGGCTTAGTAAACACCGATTAGAAGCAAGACTGCCAAGTGGGGTCTAAAGGGTGTTGCTGGGGGGAAGGAACAAAGAGTTCTGTTTTAGATATTTTCAGTTTGAAATCATGATTAGATATCTAAGTTGAGGTATGTATTAGACACTTGATAAACATGTTACAATTTTAGGGGAAAAGCCCTTACAGGAGACATAGACTTGAGAGTGGTTAGTATGTATCTGGAATTTAAGCTGTAAGCCTTGATGAGACCACTTAGGAGTTAATCGTAGATAAAAAAGAGGTCCAAAAAATTGGACTGTGGGATGTACTAACATTCATAGTCAGGGAGATAGGTAACTTGCAGAACAGACTGAGAAGAAATGTAAATTTGGTATTCCAGAAGCCAAGTAAAGAAAGACTTCCAGACAGTGATCATTTTTTTTTCAGTGCTGGATTTAATAATGTGGACATCGCTGGCAACTGCAACAATGGCGGTTTCAGTGGAGTAGAGGTTGAAAAAGCCCAATCAGAAAAAGTTTGATCAAGAGAGGATGATCGAAAGAAAGGAACTGGAGGCAGGAAGTGCAGACCCTTGCTTTTCAATGCAAGATTCTAGATGAGGATCATTAGCATCACCTAGGAGTTTCTTGGAAATGTACATTTTTAGAACCCACCCTAAAGCTACTGTGCAGGCAGCCCCTAAGATAGAACCTCCAATGACTCCCACTCCCTGGTATTTATGTCCCATGTAATCCTCTCCCTTTCAGTGTGGCCTGGATCTGGTAATTGCCTTCTAATGCCCAGAATATGGCTACAGTAATGATATTTTACTTTTGAGATTAAGTTACAAAATATTTTGGCTGTCTTGGTTGCCCTTACCCTCTCTGTTGGAGCAAGCAGCGAGGTTGTGAGCTGCTCTATGGAAAGACTCACATAGCAAAGGACAGATGTTTTTGGCCAATAGCAAGCAAAGAAATGGGGCATACCAACAGTTAATGAAGGGAGCTTGGAACAGATTCTCCCCAGGCCAAGCCTAGAGATGACTGCAATCAAGGCCAGTACCTTGACTACAGGGGGAAAGATCCTGAGCCAGAGGTACCCATCATGGCTGTGTCCAAATAAATGTTTGTTGTTTTCAGGCACAACAGTTTTAGGCTAATTTATTGAAGTAGGAAACATGTGACATCTGAATCAGAATTTAAATTTCAACAAGAGCCCTAGATTATCTGTATGCATATTAGAGTCTGAGAAGTACTAGAACAGACAATTATACTGAGGTGTTTTACAGTAGCTAGTAAAAGTTGTGTGATCAAGCAAACTTTATGAGAAGGTACATATGTGGAAAAATTAGCATACCATGCTCGTATGCTAATGAGAAAGATTCAGTAAATAGAGCAAAAACCTATGATACAGGAGAGAGAAGGGACAACCAATATTACATGATGATGCTTTATCATTTCATATTTTTAATATTTAATCTCCAAAACACTATCCAATTTTATAACAGGACATTTAGATATTTAAAAGCTAAATTCACGCAAACTAGTTAAAATGGTAAATACTATTATAGTAAGACTATTAGAATTGACAATTTAAATGCTTAAAACTACGTAATTCATTTGTATTCTTAACTTAGGATACATCATCTTAAAATTAACAAAAGCAAAATTGTAGAGACTGTGGTACTCTTCACAGTGAAAATTCATTTTATATTATTTATTTTCCCTGTTGTAAATTAACCAGTTCATAAGCACTTTAACATTTCTCATGAACAGAATTCTGCTAGCTGCTGTGAGACAAAACAAAGCTTGGTCTGTATTTACTGTATTTCTGTCTTTTCTAATTAAGTGCTTATTTGAATAATGTTGACCATCATCAATAGATATTATAGGCGGTAAGGGAGAACTAATCTAGTCTTGGCTTCAATCTTAAGGGAATAGTTAAAGAAAATAAAAATAAGAGTGAGCTTGGCCTTGAAAATGTGCAGGTGGAGGGGAGGAGAGACGTTTCAGGTAGGATGAAACGCATCAAAGCAGGAGTATGACATGCTAAAGGAATGCAGAGAAAAAACAGTTTAAATAACAGGTGATAGAATAAAGTAGAGGGAAAAGAGATTGAAGACAAGGAATTGGGAAACTTTTACTACTCCAATCTCGAGATCTGGATATGAAAAGGCAATGGACAAGACATGAAACTTTAAGAAGCATTATTAAAGAGGTTAAGTAGTAGGAAGTATTAAAGATCACCTGATTCTCCATCCTAGAGACAAAGACATATTCCTACATTTGTTTGTGACGTATTCCTACATTTGTTTAACTCCTAAATTTAGCAAAACACCTGCAGATGTTTGGGACACTTTTGCTTTACTGGCATCTAATTATTAATATCAAATTATATATACATTTAAAGCTCATTACTTGCAATACAGATTATTCCATAAAATTTTAAAATATGCATTATGTTAGAATCTATTTATTTCCTAAATTAATGAATGTGTATCAATGAAATTAACATTATCTTTCTTTTGGATATGTACAGATATGTAAATAGCTATTTTGTTTTACTCATGCTATATTGTATGTGTGTAAATGTATGTATACACAGGAATACTTTGGAGATATTGTAAGTTTGGTTCCAACTACCACAATAGCGCAAGTATCACAATAAAGCAAGTTATGCACACTTTTTTTTGTTTCACAGTGCATATAAAAGTCACGTTCAGACAAAACTATAGTCTATTAAGTGTGCAATAGCATTATGTCTAAAAAATATAGACACCTTAATAAAAAATACTTTATTGCTAAAAAAATGCTATCATCTGAGCCTACAATGAGTTGTAATCTTTTTGCTGGTTAAAGGCCTTGCCTTGATGTTGATGGCTGCTGACTGATCTGGATGGTGGCTGTTGAAGGTTAGGGTGGCTGTGGGAATG